TATGCTCCTATTGATGCAGGCCAAAATCCCATTGGCTTTTTTTGCCACCACATCACATTGTTGGCTCGTATTTAACTTGTTGTCCACGAGGATAACTGCTTTGACATTTCTATTCTGTTTTTTCCCTTTCCACTCATCCTCCCCCATCAACAATTAATCTCTATATCCAAGAATACAACTTACTGTGAAATTGTATAATGTCAAATGATAAAGATCTTTTATATGAAATTCACATGAGTTGCTCTGTTTTTTGTTATCCTCCCAGGACAAATTAAATATTTTATAAGGACCATTTAAGTTCTTTGGGTTGGAGCAGGTTATTTTTACAGCATTGTTTTCTCCTGCCAAGATGACGTTGAGATTAGTCACACGTGACGGTTCTGTGTAAAAGAAAAAAAAGAAAACAACAATAGGAGTTCCTATTATACTGTGCCCTTCTCCTATTTTTTGAAATTTATTTATTTATTTATTTACAACTTTAATATACCGGTCTTCTCCCTTCCAATGAGGGACTCAGGCCGGTTTACAACAGAGGAATTCGTACACAATAGTTTAAAACATCACGTCCAATAATACACTGATATAAAACACATTAAAATACAATCATATAATTACATAAGGCCAAGTCGTCCGAATAAAATCACTATTCATCCCCATCCATCCGTGTGGTCAAGAGTTATTGACTCTCTCATCAAACGCCAGATTCCAGAGCCAGGTTTTCACCAACTTTCTAAAGGTCAGGAGGGAAGGGGCAGTTCTAATCTCCAATGGAAGAGAGTTCCAGAGCCGAGGGGCCACCACCGAGAAGGCCCTGTCCCTCGTCCCCACCAGCCGCGATTGCGAGGGTGGTGGGACCGAGAGCAGGGCCCCTCCAGAAGATCTTAACAACCTTGATGGTTCGTAGGGGAGAATCCGTTCGGACAGGTAAACTGGGCCAGAGTCGTTTAGGGCTTTATAGGTTAAAACCAGCACTTTGAATTGTGTTCGGAAGCTACTATTTGGCAGCCAGTGGAGCTTGCGCAACAGAGGAGTAGTATGCTCCTGTTAGTAATCTGGCTGCCACCTGTTGGACTAATTGCAGCTTCCAGGCAGTCTTCAGAGGCAACCCCACGTAGAGAGCATTGCAGTAGTTTATACGGGATGCAACCAGAGTGTGGGCCACCGTGGCCACGTCAGACTTCCCAAGGTACGGGCGCAACTGGCGCAGAAGTTTTAATTGTGCAAAAGCTCCCCTGACCACCGCCGAGACCTGGGTTCCAGGCTCAGCGATGAGTCCAGGATCACTCCCAAACTGCGAACCTGCGCCTTCAGGGGGAGTGTGACCCCATCAAGCACAGGCTGTAACCCTATGCCCTGTTCGGCCTTTCAACTGAACAGGTGTACCTTTGTCTTGTCTGGATTTAGTTTCAATCTGTTGGCCCTCATCCAGTCCGTTACAGCAGCCAAGCACCGGTTCAGGACTTGAACAGCCTCCTTAGTAGCAGGTGGAAAGGAGTGACAGAGTTGGACATCATCTGCGTACAGATGACACCGAACCCCGAAACTCTTAAATCTTTACACAAGAACTCATCTTTGTAGAAAATGTGTGAAAGTGGCTAGAAACAACCCTGCCCCTCCTGCACTTATATCCTACAGCAATACAGTATGTATAACTTACTTGATGAAGAAGTCACAATCGTTTCAGTATATTTTTCCCCTTCAAACGTTTGGTTTTTGTTCCTTGAGATTTTGTATGCCCATATGTTGACCGTGTACTTCGTGAAGGGTTTTAGGTCAGTCGCGTTATGGTTGGTTACTAAAGCATTTCCTTTGACTAGAAGTTTAAATATACATATATTAGGAGCTTGAATCAAAACAAATTCATTCAAATAATTAAATTCTCAATATTCTAAAACATCAATAACTAAGAAAACCGAAGGGCAGTAGCAGCAAAGAGAAGATGAAGGTCTCTTCTACACTATCATAAAAATCAATATTATCTGCTTTGAACTGGAGTATATGTCAAGATTCATATAATCCATTTTAAAGTAGATAATGTGGATTTCTGCTTTGATAATCTAGATTATATGGCAGTGTAGAAGAGGCCAAAGCTTATCCGAATTGAACTAGTGGAGCTAGTTCAATTCTCTGCTGTTCATTTGATGTTGAACAAAAAACTTCATTCTAAGACACAAGATATTTCCACAATTTGCTATGAAATAGGACTAAGGGTCTTCTTGCACACAGGCTTATTTCATACCACTAACAATTCCACAGTACAAATCCCATCTGAACATGCCATGTGTATATTGAGTTGACGTTCCTATTCTGCTGACCTTTTCCACAGATTTCATTAAAAATTGGCTGCAGTTGTTTCTTGAAAATCTCATTAATAAATGAGGATGATTCCCAATCCTATTAAGTACAGAGAGACCATATTCTTTCTCAGATGCAAGCTTGAAGATCATACCTATCTACTGATCCCAAGATTTAACATGGAAAATTTCAAGAAATGTTTGTGAGATACTTTGGAAATAGTCATTTCAAAGTTTGCCCCACTTCCTCAGAATATGTAAGTGTTACTACTTGCTTTCATTTTGTTTTTTAAATTGATGCTATTCAAAAAGATAATCTGTCAACCATAGCTGGTCCAGAAGCCATTGCCTATTAATTCTTAATGAGTTTCAAGGAAAGAAAGAAACAATGCTCAGTTCTTGTGGGTTTTTTCGGGCTATATGGCCATGTTCTAGAGGCATTTCTCCTGACGTTTCGCCTGCATCTATGGCAAGCATCCTCAGAGGTGAGGTCTGCTGGAACTGAGAAAAAAGGGTTTATATATCTGTGGAATGACCAGGGTGAGACAAAGGATTTTTGTAAGTTGGGCTAGGTGTGAATCTTTCAACTGACCACCTTGATTAGCATACAATGGGCTGACTGTGCCTGGAGCAAACTTTTCTTGAAAGGTGATTAGATGTCCCTGCCTGTTTCCTCTCTGCTGTTTTTGCTGTTGCAATTTTAGAATTTTTTAATACTGGTAGCCAGATTTTGTTCATTTTCATGGTTTCTTCCTTTCTGTTGAAATTGTCCACATGCTTGTGTATTTCAATGGCTTCTCTGTGTAGTCTGACATGGTGGTTGTGAAAGTGGTCCAGCATTTTTGTGTTCTCAAATAAAATGCTGTGTCCAGGTTGGTTCATCAGGTGCTCTGCTATGGCTGATTTCTCTGGTTGGAGTAGTCTGCAGTGCCTTTCATGTTCCTGGATTCTTGTTTGGGCAATGCTGCGTTTGGTGGTCCCTATGTAGACTTGTCCACAGCTGCATAGTATACGGTAGATTCCTGCAGAGGTGAGAGGATCCCTCTTGTCCTTTGCTGAGCATAGCATTTGTTGGATTTTCTTGGTGGGTTTGTAGATTGTTTGTATGTTGTGTTTCATCAGCTTCCCTATGCGATCAGTGGTTCCCTTGATGTATGGCAGGAACACTTTTCCTCTGGGTGGATCTTCATCTTTATTCTTGTGGCTTGTTCTTGGTCTTGCAGCTCTTCTGATGTCTGAGGTGGAATATCCTGAATATGTCTGAGGTGGCCCAATAATTTGTATTGTTTATGTACTGCTGTTTTAAATTGTATATTGTTTTTAACTGCTGTAAACGGCAATGAGTCGCCATCTTAGGCTGAGATATTAGCGGTATACAAGTGTATAAATAAATAAATAAATATCCATTGGCCTGTAGAGCCCAGTTGAGGTGGTTCGGTTCATCTTGGAGGAGGTGGGGTTCACAGATTCTTTTTGCACTGTCTGCCAAGGCTTTAATGGTGCTTCTTTTTTGACTTGGGTGATGGTTGGAGTTTTTATGTAAACAATGAAACAATGGTTCCAAATTTGGTACTAGTCTCAGGCACAGAAAGGGCAGAGAGGGCAGTGTTTGCTATTCTGCCATATCACTTCACTTGAGAGGCATATCCAAAGTTTCTCTAAACCTGAGACTGTGGATTCAGTGCCTATGAAGCCTATAAATCTGACCTGAAGCCATAACTGTTTCAGTGTGCCTTCCCAGAATAAGGAAACTCCCTGCAAGATGTCCTTAAACGCACTTTAATAATGACTTTAGATTGTCTGCACATTTCTTCCCTCTCCAAAACCTCTATCCCAGTTACATGTTACCTGTTTATGCCCAGCATTATTTTTAAATTTTTAATTATTACATTTGGCCCAGCCATAGGTTTTTAAATGCACTGTGTTATTGTTATTGTTTTTTGCTTATTTTGCTTATGAGTTTATGTATTGTTTTTGTATTATTGCTGTTATTCTTTATTGTTGTGTTGTGGGCTCGGCCTCATGTAAGCCGCACCGAGTCCCTCAGGTACCTCGGGTAGCGGGGTACAAATAAAGTATTATTATTATTATTATTATTATTATTATTATTATTATTATTATTATTGCAGTCCTTCTTCATGCCTTTTATGGTGTTTTGCTTTGCCCTTCATATCATTACAATAGCAACAACAGCAAAAACATCCTTCATAAAAATCTCCAGCAGTGGGCGAAAGAATGAGGAAGTACTACATCAAGGAAATGGTGACACAAGTGGGCCATGAAGCAACAGCTCCCCCGATGGCCGGAATTGAACATACCCTCATTAAGCTTAAATTGCATCTGTGTTTGTCTATATATGTTGTGTCTATGGCATTCAATGCTTGGCATGTATATGTGCACTGTAATTCACCCTGAGTCCCCTGTGGGGTGAGAAGGGTGGAATATAAATACTCTGTTTATTTCTTTATTTTTATTTATTTATTTCCTGCATTTGTAACCCGCCCTTCTCACCCCTGAGGGGGGACTCAGGGCGGTCTCACAGCAAGCACCATCTGGTGCTGTTACAATTATAAACATTCAACAATGCAATTAAAACATTAAACAATTGATTTAAACAATTAGTTAAAAAAACAGTTAATTAAAACAGCCAATAAATAAATAAATAAAGTGTTAGATAGTTATTTCCAGTCTGGGACATTTCGTTCCTGAGTGCCCCCTACCTCCCCCCCCCCACCACCACATACACACACACACCAGTAAAGTTGTTTCCAAGGATTAAAAATAAATCCTCAAAAATGTCTGTGGTAGAGTAGAATATGTCTTCTGGAAATTGTATGTACAAAGTACGTACCTTTTGGTCTACAGGAACGAGGATCCTCATTACAAATTTGGACCATGTAACCATCAACTGGTTTATTGTTTTTGTTTGTTAGCTTATCCCAAGAAATGAATATGTTATGTGCAGTTTTGTTTATTTCAATGTTTTTGGGCTTATCTGGCTCTGATACAGGAAATAAGCAGAAAAAGATATATTTAAAATATATCACATATTAAAATTACACTCCGAGGCACAGTTCCACTGCTGAACACCTTAGTTATTGAAATAAAAATCACATTTAACAAAACTAAATTATAGCATATGAACCACACTGTACATTACCTTCAAGATAGTTTACAAAATCTTGTCAAGGAAGGTTACATAATAAAACAGAGTCTAACAAAGAGCCCTTATGGTATGGTGGTTAAATGGAATAAACAAAGTATAAAGTTGAGTTTTTGAATGAGAATAGTGAGTTTAATATAAGGTAAAAACAGGTGCCAAAAGTACCTCTTGACAGTGTAAATAACAGTTTCAAAGGAGTTATCTTTTTATGATTATGGAACAGGAGGAGAAGGAATTAAACCCACAGTTTACCTCTTCTGATGCTGGTTGCTTCAGCTCATCCCTTGTTTGGGTATCAGCCAGCACGTCAATGACTTAAATCCAGACATAGTTTTCTAAGATCTACAGAGACACTCGCTGGAACACCTCAGCAAGCGAGAGTCCAAAAGTGGCAGACTCAAACCCAGAACCTCAACCAATGCCTGATACCAAATGAGAAACTCCCCCCTGGGCACACAGAGGACTGGGCGACTTGGAAGGCGCTGAACAGACTGCGCTCTGGCACCACGAGATGCAGAGCCAACCTTCAGAAATGGGGCTACAAAGTGGAATCCTCGACATGCGAGTGCGGAGAGGAGCAAACCACTGACCACCTGCTGCAATGCAACCTGAGCCCTGCTACATGCACAATGGAGGACCTTCTTCCAGCAACACCAGAAGCACTCCAAGTGGCCAGATACTGGCCAAAGGACATTTAATCAACTACCAAACTCACACATTTTGTATTTTCTCTGTTTGTTTGCTTTGTTCTGTTAGAAATGTAATATAACTGACTGGCTGCCCTGACATGAGAAATAAAACCTCTTCTGATAATTATCCACCCTGCCAGCAAAGTGTTACTTTTGTAAAAATACACATTGAATGCAGCCATATTTTTTAAGGTAGCTACCTTATACAAGAAAAAATTCCATTGCATTCAAGGACACTTATTTTGTATTAGAAATGTATAGGATAAATTAATGTATTCCCCAATTTAGCCCAGAGTTTACAAAGGCTTTTCCGTTTACTTAAGTAGAAGAGGATATCCATGCAAACCACTTATATAATGCATAGCATAGCACAAGAAGCTTGGCCTGTCATTAAACATCAAGAAAACCAAAGTGCTCTTCCAGCAATCACCGGCCAATCCCTCTCCAATGCCAGAAATACAGCTTAATGGTGTAACATTAGAAAATGTTGACCATTTCCACTACCTTGGCAGCCACCTCTCCACAAAAGTCAACATTGACACTGAAATACAATACTGCCCGAGCTCTGCGAGTGCAGCATTTTTCTGAACGAAGCAGAGAGTGTCTGAGGACAGGGACATCTGTAGGGTTACCAAGGTGCTTGTTTATAAAGCTATTGTCCTCCCAACCCTGCTATATTCCATGGACTATCTACAGACGTCACATGCAACTCCTAGAACGATTCCATCAGCACTGCCTCTGGAAAATCCTGCAAATCTCTTGGGAAGACAAGCAGACAAATATCAGTGTGCTGGAAGAAACGACGACCTCTGCTATCAACTCTGCTGGACCGGCCACGTTGTCCGGATGCCCAACCACCATCTCCCAAAGCAGTTGCTCTACTCCGAACTCAAGAACAGAAAACTCCACTAGTCACTTCTTTCCAGGGTGAAGAGGAACCATTGGTGAGCACCCTTTGGGTTCYGTCACTTAACCAATTACAGATCCACTTAACAGTAGCATTGCCTAGCCCACATTTGACTAGTTTGTTTCCAAGAAAGTCATGYGAGACTTTGTTGAAGGCCTTACTGAAACCAAGATATGCTACATCCACAGCATTCCCTGCATCTATCAATCTTCTAACTCTATTGAAAAAAAAGATAAGATTAGTCTGACATGACTTGTTTTTGAGAAATCCATGTTGACGTTRAGTCATCACAGCATTCCTTTCTAAGTGATTGTAGACTGCCTCTTTAATGATCTGCTTCAGAATCTTRCCTGGTATTGATGTCAAGCTGACTGGACAGTAATTTTGGGGTCCTCTTTTTTCCCTTTTTGAAGATAGGGACAACATTTGCCTTCCTCCAGTCTTTGTGTAACTATCACAAAAAGTTTGCATGGATGGGGGTGGGGTTGAATTAATTGGATTTGTCTATGGGGTCAAATAATATCACCAGTTCAAACCGAACCCCCTCCAAATACACACATACACTTGACTTATTTACTTGCAGTGGGTAGGAAAGTCTTTGTTTGCACCAATGAGATTTTGCCCCCCGCTCCGAGACTCAGCCAAGCTGACCCTGATCAAAACCATGAGAGAGACAAAGAATTATTCTCCATCCCCAAATCCACTACAGTGTTGTCCCAGCAGAGCCGTCCTCTCAGCATCGTCCAGTCAGCATGGACAGATGTTGATTCTTTTGTATGCAGAGCTCTATGTCACAATCTGGATGAGCTCTTGCTCTCTATCTCATCCCCACCCGTTCAATCAAAGGAAAGTTAAATTGTCCAGCATTGTCGTTTTGATCATAAGTACCCTAATGGAGTTGGGAATGTGGAGAAGGAGTATCAGATGCCATTTCCTATCCAGAATGGCCCCATCAAAAAAGAACTTCCACCAAGCATATAGCAACGAGGATGTGGTGGCTCACATAATAGCTTTGCCTTAACAGTAGCAGAAACATCAGATAATCATGTCAACTTTATACAATGCCATTGTAACACATGAACAGGAAATCATAATGAGAAAGCATGCCATCAGAGATGATGAGATTTCTTCTCCCCATTATCCTCTTGAGTATGGATATGGGATAGATCTGAGCCAGAAGTCTCAATTGAGGAAGTTGAGGAACTATACATTTGGAATACATTCCAAATGTGGTTGGACTGTTACTCTTTGTGGTCCTAGGAAGCATCTCTGGTGGTGAGGAATGTTGGCAGTTGTAGTCTACATCTAGAAGACCTCATGTTCCCAACAGTGGCCAAAATTATTCAGGGAGAATAAAAATGTGGCGGAAATGCCCAATGTCAACTAGAGGACATTCAAGTGCAAAACGATTTGAGGGATATAGAATCATAGAATCATAGAATCAAAGAGTTGGAAGAGACCTCATGGGCCATCCAGTCCAACCCCCTGCCAAGAAGCAGGAATATTGCATTCAAATCACCCCTGACAGATGGCCATCCAGCCTCTGTTTAAAAGCTTCCAAAGAAGGAGCCTCCATCACACTGAACGGTTCTCACAGTCAGGAAGTTCTTCCTCATATTCAGATGGAATCTCCTCTCTTGTAGTTTGAAGCCATTGTTCCGCGTCCTAGTCTCCAGGGAAGCAGAAAACAAGCTTGCTCCTTCCTCCCTGTGGCTTCCTCTCACATATTTATACATGGCTATCATATAGGCCTGTTTGATCAAGAAAAAATTTGTTTCTAAAATCGATTTGTAATTGGGGTGTTTTTTTGTTTCGATATTTAAAATAATTACAAAACTTTCCAAAAAAAAGTTTTGGTATTTACGAAATTTCGTAAATATTAACAAAACATTTTGTAAAGATGGCGGACCCCCGCGCGCATGCGCAAAACATTTCCGAAGCTTACGTTTTGCCGCGGGGTCGATTCGTTAAGGGGGATGGACTGGATGACCTTTGGGGGTCCCCACTGGGAGTTGAACTCCAAAGCATCCTCCTCCTTGCGGGAGCGGAGGCAGCTCTCCGAGCCCCCTCCTCCTCCTCCTCCTGCCGCCGCCGCCTCCTCCTCGGGCAGCCGGGGAAAGCTGGTGATGCATGTAATCCACAGGCGAGTAGGCGGCGGCGCCCAGGCTGCTCTGCTGGCTCGCCTCCTTCTCGGCCGCCCGCAGCCGCGGCTGCAGCAGTCGCTGCCTGCGCTGCTCGCTCGCGGGGGAGGGGCGGGGCAAAGAGAAAGGGGCGCCGGAGCGCCGGATTGGCTCCCAGGCACCGTCCAGCAGCATCCTCCATCCAATTTCCGAAACAGGCGGAAACTCGTTAAAAGGATGGGGGATGCCGCCTCGTTATTTTTAAACCCTTCCGGGTTTAAAAAAGTGTTTTGTTATCGTTTCGTATATGCAAAAATTAACGAATGTTTAACGAATTAACGAATTAACGAACGAAACCGCACAGGCCTAATGGCTATCATATCTCCTCTCAGCCTTCTCTTCTTCAGGCTAAACATGCCCAGCTCCTTAAGCCGCTCCTCATAGGGCTTGTTCTCCAGACCTTTTATCATTTTAGTTGCTCTCCTCTGGACACACTCCAGCCTGTCAACATCTCTCTTGAATTGCCTTGCCCAGAATTGGACACAATATTCCAATATCTAGATTTCTTCTTGTAATACAAATAACACTTCCAATCACATGCATGCACAAGCATTCTCATTATGCTTCTGGACTGAAAGTAAAGTTCAAAAAGAAAGAAAGTGCAGAAAAATCATATTATACTCACCTCCAAAATCCGTTTCTACTTTGATGTCTGTGCTGTTCAAGAATTCATTGTTGAAATATATTTGTGATGTACAAGTGTAATTCATATTAGGATGTAAATTAATTATTGCATTACATCCTGAGTATGTCTTAGGATGCGTATCAGTGCATTTAGTATCTGTAAGAAATGGTAAGATATCATGACTCTGTGCATGCAGGACGAGGCAAATATCTGCACTGGGTGTAAAGCAACAACAACAACAATTTTAATTGATTAGCCAGTTGGCCTTATCAAAAACAGACAGTGCAAATACATCATACAACATACATCTAGTTCTCTTAAAATAAAATACAAATATACAGGTATTTATCAGCTAGAAACCAATGTAGCTTTAAACAAATAAAGGACAACTTCTGTTGTCAGAATGGGGTTGTAACCAGCCAACAAAAATGAGGTTTTGGACGCTGTATCCCAGCTTGTTTTATTGCAAATAAAAGGCCATAAGAATTGTTTCCTTTCTTTTTCATATAGATTGCAGTGATATAAAGTGTGGTTCAGATTTTCGACTTCAGAGGCACCACAGATACATAGTCTTTCTTCATGTGGGATATGATTGAATCTGCCGTTTCTCTCCATGGACTCAATTTGTTCAAATCTTGCCCTGGTAAAAAGTGATTCTTAGGTATCTTGGCATATCAGCTTTTAGGTTCGGCACCCGCTGGAAATTATGTTTAAAGCATCCGAACCACTTCAAGGACCCTGTGTTTGTCAGGATGGCTATATCCAGAGGTGGCCCTAGGTAATTTTCAACGGTAAGCAAACAGTATTTTGGCGCCGCCCCCAACTAATCATTGATATATATTTTCTGTTCATCATGGGAGTTCTGTGTGCCATATTTGGTTCAATTCCATCATTGGTGGAGTTCAGAATGCTCTTTGATTGTAGGTGAACTATACATCCCAGTAACTACACTTGCCGCACTTGCTCCCTTGCCTGGCCCACTTTGGTCCGGAGGCGTGCCTGAAGACCCCGGCGTGTGCACCAAAAGTCACCTCTTCTCCTGACTTTCTCCTCAGCCATTGGGACCAAGAGAGAGAGAGAGAGAGAGAGGTGGAGATGCCCGCCTTTCCTGAAGGTAGGCGCAAAAACAAAGGAGGGAGCGGAGGTGGGAGATACCTCCAGCCGGAGGGGCTCTCTCTCTCTCTCTCTTGGTCCCAATGGCTGAAGAGAAAGTCAGGAGAAGAGGCAACTTTTGGTGTGCATGCTGGGGTCTTCAGACACGCCTCCGGACCCGAAGCGGATTGGGGAAAGGAGAGAATGTGGGTGGAGCACCAGGGGATCGGGAAAGGGAGCCGGTCATGGGGAAGGGATCGAACGCGGAGAACGATTGAGCACCGGCTCTGCTCGTGCACCCGGTGGCCAGGTGGAGCAGGAACGAGAGGGGCTAGGCAAGGCTCAAGGTCCCGGTCCCTTTGGGAAGAGGATCACCCGGCAGCGAGGCAAGAAAGCCGAGGCTCCCCCCGGACTGCTAGGGCTGTTGTGAGCTGAGGGGGCGCTCCTCAAGTGGCGGTCGAGGGGCATTTACAGAGGTGCCTCTGCACCCCTGGCAAAAAAAAGTGTTCTGCGACTGCTTACTTCGCGTAATGGACGAGCCGCCCCTGGCTATATCTTTCTGGACATCAATATTTAGGATCCTTTGAATTACTGTCCTTTTTCAGCATCCCTATTCTGGCCTAAGGAGGCAATTTGTACTGGGTATAAAGAAACTGTGACCCTTCATATATTTTGGACTATAACTCCTATCATTCTTAATGATGGTGGTTCATACTGATAGGAGTCAGAGTCCAATAATATCAAGAAGGCTAAGTTTCCCCACTCCCAATCAATATGCTGTTGTTTAAAATTTGTCACTTTAAAAGACACAGATCTTCCTTGTGACTGGGTAAGTAGAGTTCATATATTTCCATCCCAGCTGAGACATGTAGAATACGTTAATCTTCAAATGCAATACTTTTCATTTTAAATATCCACACACAATTATTTTTTTTAAAAAAATGTAAAATTAATTTTCCATCAAATTAATACACAATTACAAACAGTTTATTTAATGACCTACCATTGGGTTGACAACAATAGGAAAAATTTAAATTGCATTCACGAGCTGAATTGATTTCCCAGACTAATGTCACACTGGTATTAGTTACATCCTTTTTGGTCAAACTCCATGTAACTGGGGAGGGGGGGGGGAGAAGAAACCACAATGATATTTGTTTCAATAGTCATTATTCACATTTTGAAAGAATGCTGGATCAAATTTTGCACTTATTTCTACATTTAATAACACTGTCCTACAAATTTTCAGTTTTTCTCAGTTACGGAAACGAAATGTGCCATTTCTTAATAAATTTAACATGCTGAATTCAAATATAATAATTAAATGTGTTAATTGGCTCTGGTTTTTATGCAACAGCTATTTCAATTTTTTCCACAATAGGTAATTCGTTAATATTATGATAATGCGCCTAACCTTACTGCATGTATATAAACCGTGAATATTTACTAAATTTTAGTCAAATTATATTGCCAATAGTTTATACATGAGAAATATTTATTTAATTAGTCTATTGTTTATGTTTGTGCAGCAAGAAACTATATTAGTAGGCCTAATGCAGTTGAAAAGTCTGAAAGTTTAAATGTCGCTTTAATCGTGACTTTAGTTTTTATCCTGTTTGCTTCTCTTGACTTTTCTTTTGTATTCAAGGAAAGGATTGCCTCTTACAATGCTCCAGTCTGACAGCATTGACGGAGTCCATTTACCTTGATATCTTTTTTCCATAGTGCTTTATTTACACACGTGCGAGGCATAACTACAGTAAAAAGGACAATGTAAAACGATGTTTAACGATACTGTCTCAGTCTTCAACTGACTGACCCTCACTGTTCAAAAGTCTGGCCTTATATAGGGCTTTCTGGCTTTTGCACACGGCACTAATACTGCATCATCAAACTTTCTAGAGTATTCTAGAATCTTCCATAGTGTAAGCCGCAACATGCATTTTTTTCAACCATACGTGATCACGTGATTGCTTATATCATAAAAACTAGAGCCAATATACATTTTTAAATGTCATTTTCGTTTTCAGCACCCCAAAATCATAAAAGAACAACTATTTTCAGGCCCGCAACTTTTTCTCCATTGAACAGTGTAATGGATTACATGAATGCATGTCTGAATATCCAGTGCAACTTTCAAATGTTCTGCTATACATTTTATATAAGCACAATACTAGTATGAATGGCATCATTAACAAAGATATTAAAAAGAAAAAAGGGTATTCCTTGTTCTGTTTTTAAAAGGTTATTATCACAGTAAATCAAGCACATTCACATTAATCACAATCCACACCAAGCACCATGAGTAGACCTTAGCCATTGTTAACCCTTTCACTCCTGGCTAATGTCAAGAAAAGTGCTTTTATTGTATGTTATTTGAAACAAATGTTTCAATTTCAGCGGGACTTAAAATAATGATCCTGTATTGGATTGTGCCCATAGTTTAATTGTAATGGTCACAACAGCATCTCGGAGTTACAATGCAATCGACAATCTTCCACTTCTTCTTACCCCTCCATACATTTATTAGATGTCTTTGTTCATGAGAATTTTCATACATGGAGGTTGCATTTTGTGAAGAGAAATCATCTACACTGTCATGACTCATGAGGACATGAGGAAAATGAAACGGTGGCATGTGGGGAAGTAAGTAATAGGGCTGAATAGCTTTCTGCCACACTTCCCCCTCCCCCCCTTTATCCATGCATTAATAGGGACATTTGAAAACAGAGAGCCTATGCTGGGCATAGGAATTTGAAAGCGAAGACTAGGCTTGTTTGATCCAAAAAAAGTGGTTCAAAACTCATTTCGGATGTAACTGGTGGTTCTGGAAGTCACTTCCATTGCATATATCCTTTCAGAGGACAACTAAATAAGGAGATACCTGATAAATTAATACTACATGATTTCTCTCCTTAAAATAATTGTTATGAGTTTTTCCATGATTAATATTTGTCATCTTGCTGCTCAGTGACATTCTATTGACGAGACTCTGATGTTACTCTGCCACATATGTCCCCCGGTGTTATGTTATGAGTTTGGTATGAGTTTGGTACAGTGATTCGATGTATTGGGCAAGGACTCTAGGGTTTAAATTACCACTCAGACATGGAAATCTCTTGGGCGACCCTGAGCAAGTTGCACTCTCTCAGCCCACACAGAAGGCAATGGCGAACCGTTTCTGAATAAATCTTGCCAAGCAAACCCTATGATAGGGAGGCCATAAGTGAAGTAGACATGAAGTCCATATTGACTCTGCAGTTGGGTGTTAATATGCATATTCATTAAAGCCCTTTGAAACTGAAAAAGTAGGATAGTTTCATTACCATAAACATGTGCCAAAAGCATATGTATTATTTATTTATTTACTTTACTTATATACCACTCTTCTCAGCCCTCAGGCGACTCAAAGCAGTTGACAATATCAATGCAAAACATCACAAGACAAGTATAAAGCCATTAAAAACAGATTATAGCATCAACAATTAAACATTAGTATAACAATCAATTAGCGCCTCAACAGTAAAATCAGAATCCAGTCTCAACATCCATTATTCCGTATTCCTATGTTCAATTACACTGTTTAGTCAAATGCTTGTTCGAACAGCCAGGTCTTCACCTTCCTCCGAAACGCCAGCAGAGAGGGGGCCGATCTGATATCTACAGGCAGGGCATTCCACAGCCTAGGGGCCACCACTGAGAAGGCCCTGTCTCTCGTCCCCGCCAGGCATGCCTGTGATGCAGGCGGGACCGAGAGCAGGGCCTCTCCAGATGATCTTAGTCCTAGTCGGTTCATAGGAGGAGATGCGTTCAGAGAGGTAAGTAGGGCCAGAACCATTTAGGGCTTTATAGGCTAATGCCAGCACTTTAAATTGTGCCCGGTAGCAAACTGGCAGCCAGTGGAGTTGACACAACAGAGGAGTTGCATACTCCTTGAGAGCCGCTCCAGTTAGCAACCTGGCTGCCGAACGCTGGACCATTTGAAGCTTCCGAGCAGTCTTCAAAGGCAACTCCACGTAGAGAGTGTTGCAGTAGTCTATACAGGATGTAACCAGAGCGTGGACTACCGTGGCCAAGTCAGACTTCCCAAGGTACGGGCGCAGCTGGCGCACAAGTTTTAGCTGTGCAAATGCTCCCCTGGTCACCGCCGAAACCTGGGGTTCCAGGCTCAGCGATGAGTCCAAGATCACACCCAAGCTGCGAACCTGCGTCTTCAGGGGGAGTGTGACCCCGTCCAACACAGGCTGTAACCCTATGCCCTGTTCGGCCTTACGACTGACCAGGAGTACCTCTGTCTTGTCTGGATTCAATTTCAATTTGTTCGCCCTCATCCAGACCATTACAGCAGCCAAGCACCGGTTCAGGACCTGAACAGCCTCCTTAGTAGCAGGTGGAAAGGAGTGACCCTTATGCCCTTCTAGCTCAAATCTTCAGTATAGTTCAACACCCAATTCAATAATCCACCACCAGGCTTAAAACAACTGGGTGGGCAAATTAATCTGGAGTTTGTGCTTACCAGGTGGGACGTGAATTGACACTCGGTCACTGCAGCTAGCATTAATTGTGTATTTTTCACATTCCCGAAGTCCAGTAAGTTCTTTTGTGGTTTTATTCCAACTACATGGGTGATCCGTTGCATCTGAGTAGCAGGTAACATCATCTATATCGGATACTCCATCAAGTTTTGTAATAACACTGTGGCCAGCAGCCATGTATTTTCCAACCGTGATACCTAAGAAATAAGAAGGTAAGATACATTCAAACTCTGTTTGACATGGTTTCTTTTAAACCAGCAGACATTTTTAAGTGTGCACTGCAATTTCAAGCAAGATTCAGAGCAAGCAATTCAAATGAGCCTACTAGCCTATCACCTTAGATCCCTAGAGGGAGAAAAGCAGGGTATAAATAATAATAATAATAATAATAATAATAATAATAATAATAATAATAATAATGTTGCTCAGATGATTCATTGGAAATTGTGCCACAAATACCATCTGCCTGCGACAAAGAACTGGTGGGATCACAAGCCAGAAAAAGTTACAGAGAATCAACACGTCAAGCTACTCTGTAACTTCCGAATTCAGACAGACAGAGTTTTGGAGCACAATACCCCTAACCTCACGATCGTGTTAAAAAACAAATTATGGATTGTCGATGTTGCAATCCCAGGTGACAGCAGGATTGAAGAGAAACAACTGGAAAAGCTGGCACGATATGAGGATTTAAAGATCGAACTGCAAAGACTCTGCCACAAGCCAGTCAAGGTGGTCCCAGTGGTGATTGGTACACTGAGTGCATTGCTTAAAGACCTTGGCCTGCACTTAAACACAATCGGCGCTGACAAAATTACCATCTGCCAGCTGCAAAAGGCCACCTTACTGGGATCTGCACACATTATTCACTGATACATCACACAGTCCTAGACACTTGGGAAGTGTCCGACGTGTGATCCAATACAACAGCCAGCATTGTGTTTCAAATAATAATAATAATAATAACAATAATAATAATAATAATAATAATAATAATAATAATAATAATGATAGATAGTCCTTTTATTATATCAGTGAGGCTAGGCAATTAAGGTCCCTTCTATCTTCCAAAGTGAAATAGCTGTTTATTCTCTATTAAATTATTTACTTGAATGAAGCAAGAAGCATTTTATGCTCCATGTTTTTTTTAAAAAAAACTTCAGGTTTGCATGCAACATTAGATGTGTACAATAAAATATCTGCAACATATTCCACTTTGCATCTTCTACCATACCATGGATGAGCATGACACTGAGATATGTGAGTACCACTTCACATTAAGAAGTGGGACTCATGGGTGTTTCAACAGATATATGTGCCGCTTTGATGGGAATTATCAGTTGTGAGGTCTAGCAAGGGAAAGCAGCATTTAATAAAGTTAATGGATGTCTTTTCTTATTGCAAAAATTGATTTCATCTCCAGGAAAAAAGAAACACTTACTGCAGCGACGAGTAGTAGACGATACTGTAAGAAAAGGAGAAAAATATATATTATTTTTTAAAAAAATTATCTAGAAGAAGAGTTAAATATAATCCCTCTTAAGTATGATTTCTTTAATATATATTTTAGCTTTGATATACATATTTGGGTAGATGCCTAAATATAGGTTTTAGGCAAACCATGATATACCTTGAACACTATGATAATTGTTGTGATAGAGTCTGCTGGCAGTGATAGTAACACTAGTTGTATTAGGAGAGGCAGGAAAACTACTCGCAAGCAAGACTATGATGAAGAGCAACAAAGGAAAATAATCTGGGAGATACTTAGTGAGCCAACAGATGAGGATTCTTTTGAAGGTTTTGAGGCAAATGATATGGATGATAGGATATCAGATTCTGGGTCTGATGTGATAGATTGAACAAGGGTTTGTGCTGAACCCACAAGCTGTGGCATGTTTGAAGGTTGGAGTAGTGAAGACATGGATGGGTCTTGGGGAACTTCGGGATTAGACCAGAGATGGACTACTTGGAGGAGTGGTGGAAGAGGCACAGCTGGGGATGGGTTGGGCCGAACTAGGGGTGTTTCCAGTTCAGATGAGGAGCTGCAACAAGATGCAGCTGGGACAAGGGTGTTGGCTGAATCAAGTTCTGATGAGGACTTGTAAATAAAATGGGAATGTTTGCAATTGTAACCTTGCAATCGGCAAGGAGTCTTGTTGGGTGCTTTCTGGATCTTTGTGTTACAGAAGACGGGTTTGGAAGAAGACTTTGGGGTGTAAGTTATGCTCTGGGTTTAAGCAGCAAAGGGGGCTGGAACTGTGTGGGTTTTTGCTGGACTGCACTGTTTTGATGTTTGCATTAGCTGACGTATTGCCCCGCTACTTTGGCTCCTTGTGTTTTCCATCGGATTGGGATCGGACCTTGCAGCTGTTTGTTTCCCTTTGGACTGGACCAAACTGGACTACAACCATTGTCGTTACTCTCTCCTCCACATCTGCGGCTGTGCTTCTGGAGTTGGCATTATCATTCTTCCTGCATTTCTGCATACCAGCCTTGGAGTCAGTGTGCTGTTCCTGCTGTGTATGAGGCTCGGGTTACATTTTATAACCCTTGAAAGACTGCTACTCATTAGTGTGGCTGTGAACTTAATTCTACTGTTTATTTTGCTTCTGTTGTTTGATGAAGCAAGTTTGGGCTGCATTTAAGCATTTTGAGTTTAAGCTGGATTATATCTCTGGATAATCCAGTTTATATTATGTTTGGGTTCTGTGGGTTGTTTTGCCTGTTTGGGCTTTTTCACACTGAAAACTAAGTGTTTTTTGCCCTGTGGTTTTGTTTTGGGCTGTTTTGTGTTTGTTTGAACAGTAAACTATACTTCTTTACTTGGCTGGCATCTGACCTTGACAATAATACTCTGGCTGAGCTGGTCTCTGTAATTGGAATTTCAATATATAAAAATTTAATTTCACATTGCATTGATTAATGAGCATAATTGTTTTGGCTCAATTAACTGGAAATCTGCATGGGCAGTTAAGATTTGCACAAGAGTAAAGATTTGATCCACAATATGTGGTGGGCTATTATCCACATTGCCAAGCCAAATAGGTATAGTCAGGCACCAGCAAATTTCTGGGATATTTAAGTGTCAGAATTAAATATTTTCCTACTCATGGATGTCTGGTGTCCACTAGGAAAAGTCGGAAAGAAGACCGAATTCTTGAGGATTATCCAAAGAGCTATTAACTATAGAGTAAGGCAGGGGTCCTCAAACTTTTTAAAGAGAGGGCCAGGTCACAGTCCCTCAAACTGTTGGAGGGCTCGATTATAATTTGAAAAAAAAATGAATGCATTCCTGTGCACACTGCACATTTCTTATTTGTAGTGCAAAAAAAAACCCACTTTAAAACAATACAATAATTAAAATGAAGAACAATTTTAATAAATATAAGCTTATTAGTATTTCAATGGGAAGTGTGGGCCTGCTTTTGGCTGAAGAGATAGGATTGTTATGTGCTTAGGTTGACCCTGCCTGAGCGAGGGCCGGGTAAATGACCTTGAAGGGCCATATCTGGCCCCTGGGCCTTAGTTTGAGGACCTCTGGAGTAAGGTCCTTCTGGTTTGCTAGCTAACATCCTTCCTTGCAAGATCCAAGGCTCCTTCTATACTGCCCAATAAAATCCAGATTATCCACTTTGAACTGGATTATATGGCAGTGTAGACTCATATGATCCAGTTCAAAGCAGGTAGTGTGGTTTATTTGCTTTGATAATCTGGATTATATGGCAGTGCAGGTGGGTCCTAAATTAAACTTGTGCCCAGCTGGTGTTCAGAAGGAGTCTTGTGAATTGAAGATCTAGTACCTCTTTGTTCAAACTAAAGATCACCAGTGCCTGGTGTCTCATATATTTGTGATCAGATGGGTGCCATTATTGGTTTGCTGCACTGGAGTAGAACTAGCTGCAGCTTCACTGGTAAATTGCACTGTTCATGAGAAAGATGTCACAATTATTAGGGCCTGCTTGGAGTTCATGTATTTTGGGAGGCTACTGGGACATCTGTACTGACCGAACGACATATTTCAGCAGTACCAAGGTTATACTCACCATCAGTTACAATTATATAGAAAGGAGGAAGGAAGTGGGAGGGGAAAACAGGATGTGACAGCATCTTCAGGATTAACTGGGTTTTATTTCCATGGATTTGGGTCAGTTTATACTTGAGTATATGCAGTATGTTATCAGAATGCAGATAACATACAAGGGGTATTTTTTAAGTAAGGTCCGTTTTGTTGTAGACACTAGTAGTTTGTGCGCATACCGCAACGAGCGTGTGCGTCGTGTACCGGCATGCCTTGGGAACAACTGTGCTCAGTTTCCGCTCTGTAGCTAACCTGTACGGTTCTGTTCTGTGCTTTAAAAATGTTTAAGACTATCAATTCACCCGCCGCATGTGAAGTTCGCTCAGTGATACAGTTTTTGTCAGCAAGGAACCTGCCTGCTGCAGAAATTCATCGACAGATTTGTGAAGTGTACGGTGATACTGTTATGAGTGAAAGCAAAGTGTGTAAGTGGGTACGACAATTCAAAGATGGCCGTGACAACGTCCATGATGAGGACCGCTCCGGTCACCCTTCTTTGATTACAATGAACTCTTGGTTATCGGAGCAGGCGGCAAGTTTTTATGAAGAAGGTATTTTAAAATTGGTTTAGAGGTATGATAAGTGTTTGAACAAACTTGACAACTATGTTGAAAAATAGAGTGAAGTATGTACTTTCTGAAAATAAATTTACTTTTTTGGAATAAACTTTCGTTGTGTACTTATGTTCAAACAGACCTTACTTTTAAAATACCCCTTGTACTTGGGCCGACCAAGGGCAAGATGGATGAATTGACTGGCTTGACCTTGAGGGAGCTTGGGGTGGTGACGGCCGACAGGGATCTCTGGCGTGGGCTGGTCCATGAGGTCATGAAGAATTGGAAGTGACTGAACAAATAAACAACAAATTTCCATGGATATAAACCCACTTTTTCAGATGCATACTGAGTGGTGTCAAAATTCAGGACAGTGGTTTCAAAGTGATTTCAGAATCATATAAGGATAGATTTTCACGGTTATGCCTCTTTCATGAGAATTCCTGTGCAAATCTTACTGAAATGAAATGATAACCTAAACAACAGCATGTGATTTCTGTCCCTAGACTTTAAGATCACAAAACAAGATTGTTAACTTCTAGCTCTTAAATCAATGATAGAGTTGAAATCTACACTAAGAAACAGTCCCATTCATTTCTCCAAACTGCACAAGAAAATGATTACAAACATGTGAATAGCATCCCAAGCTATATGCATGCATGCAGTAACAAGTAACAATGTGTGCAGGTTTGTCACCTATTGGACCAGAGGTGGTGCCTGCAGAAGCTTGAGAGATGTTTGCTGGAGTGGCAGTAGAAACTGGGATGTTGTCATGCATGGAAGAATTATTCGGATAATCTACCAGGGAATAAACAGAAGGTTAGTAAGTATTACATCCAATAGTAACTATTGAATTCTCATCAATGGGAACAACCTTGAAGCTGAGAGAATAGAAACCTGTCATTTCTCCTTTTAGAAAACTAGAATTCTTCAGACAAATATTAAAATCCACCAAATAGATCACTGATACTTACAAAACAGTTAATTTACCAAATCCCTGCTTATTCTGTGGATAGATGCATTTCACCAATAGGATGTAAGCTTTTGGTTACTATCTTACCCATTATAGGTAAATGTAAGGGGTGCTCCTATGCAAATTTGCTTGGGTATCAGTTTCACTGAATATAGGGAAGCACTCCAATGTTAGGGGAAAAGATGGTTTATTGGGAAAGACCAATACTATTGTTTTTCCCCCAGTTTAGATGACATTACAAACTTACCACAGCACACAGTTATATCTTGTCTTAGCAGACAGGTTCCTTTAATACATTACACAGAGCCTTCAGCAAACAGCATCACAGCACAAGGAGAGAGTATACACTCTACATGACTTCCTTATATACAATTCTATACAATTACACATAGCAATCTCTGATTGGTTCCCAACTCATTAACTTAATTCAGACCCAGGATTACATCATTCACAATCACCTGGATGAGGCCAGAACACATTCCCCAAATGAAGTTCTATATACAGTTAATGCATGACTCAGCATTTCCAATAGAAGCCTATTAGCAGTGCATGACTCAGCTATATTACATTACAATACATTGTAAAACCTGACACCCCTCCTCATGCACTTACTAAACTCAACAAAGCTGAAAACCTTAGAAACTTTTCTTCACCTAAAGCTTTCGTCAACACATCTGCAAAAATTTCCTCACTTCTTACATAGTTTAGACACACCTCACCTTCGCTAACTAACTCTCTTACATACGCATGCCTAACACCAACATATCTAGACCTAGCTTTCGGACACTCCATCTTTGCTAATTCTATACATGTTTGTGAATCTACAAAAACTTGAACTTTATCTTCTAACCTAATACCAGCATCTTCAACTAACTTCTTGACCCACAACATCTCCTTACATGCTTCTGTCAAACTGGCAAACTCAGCCTCAGAAGTTGACAAACAACCGCTTGTTTCCTAGACTTCCAACTCAATAGACCATCTCCTAACTTAATCACAAAACCACTCATAGATTTGTGATTTTCTACATCAGCAAAACTGCTGTAACTATAGACCGACAAAACACTCCTGTCAAAAGGCTTCACCTCAAACACCTTATTGATCGATCCTTTCAAATACCTCAACACCCTCTTCAAACCATTCCAATCTGTGTAACTTGGACTTTGAACTCTTCTAATCAAAACCGACACAGCATAAGAAATATCAGGCCTAGTCAATCCAGCAATGTACTGGAGACTCCCTACGACAGACCTATATAACTCAGGAAGCTTAAACTTCTCACCAGTAACTTGTTTTAAAAACTCCACCGCCGTTGGTGTGGTAGCACTCTTAGCATTAGACAAACCAGTCTTCTCTAACAACTTGCTTATTTTATCACACTGACTTAGCAAAATTCCATGCTCAGTCCTGACTACACTTAAACCCAAATATTTGCTGACATATTCTAAATCTTTGATACCCAACGTTTTACTCAGACTTTTGGTCTTTCCCAATAACCCTTGCTGCTTTAGCTGACATATAACTTCAAAGAGACATTTGAGTAGGTTCTGGGCTGAAAAACTAGGCTTATACTTGAGTATATACAGTACATCCATCTCACAGTATAAATATGTACACCAAGCAGTTACACATGTAGATGCTTTGGGGGCACCGAAAAGAGCACAGCAAACCTGATGGTGCATGCATGTCGGTGGAGGGAAAGAATGGAGAAAGGGTAGCAGTGCTGCTGAATGCCTGAATGGTGGAAGAGTTTGAATCCATGTGATTGGTGAGGGATGAGTTGCTTGCTGGAAAAGGCTCTGGAGTAACAAAAGTGCAATCAGCTCATTATTACCACTGTTAGGACACAATAGCCAAGTACTAAATGGTTAAAGGGTAACCTTAACAGGAAAGAAGAAAGAATGAAATTCCCAATCTTTTGGAAACCTTTCTGGAAATTAATTCTTCTGTGAAACTGCAACATATCAATCAAGGTGAAAAAAAAACTTAGATGGGAATGAATAGCCAGATAATTCCATGATCCCATTCATTCAATTCATTAGTCCATTTTCAAAATTCTGTCTTCACAGCACAAGGAGAGAGTATACACTCTACATGACTTCCTTATATACAATTCTATACAATTACACATAGCAATCTCTGATTGGTTCCCAACTTTTTGGATTTAGGGGTTACATAATCTTCATTGCCCAAGTCTCCTTCTACAATGCTATATAAAACCTAGATTATCTATTTTGAACTGTAATTTATGGCAGTGTAGATTCATATAATCCAGTTTAAAGCAGATAAAGTGGATTCTCTGCTTTGATAATCTGTATTATATGGCAGTGTAGAAGGGGTTTAAGATAATTTTATGATATTTGCCATAGGTCAACAGGCAATTTGAAAGCACACACACGTTCTCTTGATTCTGCGGAATCTTATGACCATATAGACTATATAGACTACTTTACTATGTTTATTCTACTGTTACAGTAAAGTCTCACTTATTCAACCTTCGCTCATCCAACATTCTGTATTATCCAACACAGTATGCCCGGATCCACAACTGTTTCAATACATTGTGATGTTTTGGTGCTAAATTCGTAAGTACATAATGTTACCATGTATTAAACTGCTTTTTCTCTCTATTTGTTGTAAAACATGATGTTTTGGTGCTTAATTTGTAAAACCATAATGCAATTTGACATTTAATAGACTTTTCCTTAATCTCTCCTTATCATCCAACATTTTCGCTTATCCAGCATTCTGCTGGCCCATTTCTGTTGGATAAGTGAGACTCTACTGTATAACTTTCTTTCATTGGAGCCAAACTTTGGGTGGATCTATACTGTCCTATATCCCAGGATCTGATCCTCGGTTATCTGTTTATCCCAGATGAACGGGCATATAATCCAGTTCAAAGCAGATAATCTGGGATCAGGTCCTGGGATATAGGATTTGATCCAGCCTGTTACATATATTATATTGAAATGTACAGAGACTTCCTACTTACTCACACTCTTCACCTAACTGTCAATTGGTGGCAGAGTTGCATTGTCTTGCCACACTATAACATTCCTACCACTCCATCTGAATAATGCTCCTAGCAACTCAGCAGTTACTTTAACTTAATAAAACTTAATATTTTCCATTCCCTGTTTTTGAAGGAATATAGTATTCCCACCAGGATAACCTTGGTCATAAAAACTCTCCAAAGCAAACCTGTGATGGCGATGGAAACAGTTGTGGCAGGAGAAGAAGTAGCGTTCACTTTCCTAACAGATATTTCAGTAGAATTAGAGGTCTGGTAAATAGGGACCACTGTGTCTCTTGTTGTTGAGCCAGGATTTCCATCCAGGATGTTTGCAGGTGAGGATAGCATGGTGCGTGGAGGTATGAAAGAAGGGTCAGAAGTTGGAGAGTAGCTTGTTTCTCCTAAGGTGAGTAGATGTGTGGGGAGGGGTCAACAAATTAGACACGTTATATAACAAAGCCTGAAAAAATAGCCAAACACCAGAGTCTATTTAATAAGGAGGAATTGGTTTCTCAGAGATCTCCCATGCCATGTCAACCAAGGAAGCTATATCTTATGATCATAGAATCATAGAATCAAAGAGTTGGAAGAGACCCCATGGGCCATCCAGTCCAACCCCCTGCCAAGAAGCACGAATATTGCATTCAAATCACCCCTGACAGATGGCCATCCAGCCTCTGTTTAAAAGCTTCCAAAGAAGGAGCGTCCACCACACTCCGGGCCAGAGAGTTCCACTGCTGAATGGCTCTCAAAGTCAGGAAGTTCTTCCTCATGTTCAGATGGAATCTCCTCTCTTGTAGTTTGAAGCCATTGTTCCGCGTCCTAGTCTCCAGGGAAGCAGAAAACAAGCTTACTCCCTCCTCTCTGTGGCTTCCTCTGACATATTTATACATGGCTATCATATCCCCTCTCAGCCTTCTCTTCTTCAGAGAGAGATCCTCTGATTGGGACATCCATTGTCTCTTTATTTTACAAAACATAATTATGTGTGGTGAGATTCATTGGCCTCTATACCATTGTGCCAATCCAATTGGTTCCTCAAACATTATTCTTAGCCATGAAGAGAAAGCTCATAGGCATACGTTCTCTAGCCCATGTGGTTTCATCACATTTTTGGGTCAGGAAATGAGTGTGGAAAGATAAAATATTAGGACACCATGTTTACTTGTGGGCTTTGAGGCTACATTTCGCATACAAAAAGACACCAGGACCTCCAGGATTTTAGGTTTCAATGGTATTACATTAAATACCGTTATATTGAACAGCACAAAGCTATAGGACAAAACGGCTCCTAAGCGGCTTAGGTGGGGGCACACATAACACTGATAAATGCACCTTCTCCCCCCGTTCTTGCCCTCTTTCTCTTGATAAATTTCCTTTTCAGCCTCCTCCTTATAGCCTAATTTCTCAGGGTTTGGTGAAGTCTGGCCTTGAATGTTACATGTGCTGATTCATTTTGGCTTTTCTATTTGAAGGAAAACCTGCCTAGAACGTGTGCCCTTGCTTCTAATCAGAGGCGGCCCCAGGTAATTTTCAATGGTAAGCAAGTAAGCAAACGGCATTTTGGCGCCCCCCCCCCCCAACCAATCATTGATATGTATTTTCTGTTCGTTGTGGGAGTTCTGTGTGCCATATTTGGTTCAATTCCATCATTGGTGGAGTTCAGAATGCTCTTTGATTGTAGGTGAACTATACATCCCAGTAACTACACTTGCCGCACTTGCTCCCTTGCCTGGCCCGCTTTGGGTCCGGAGGCGTGCCTGAAGACCCCGGCGTGTGCACCAAAAGTCACCTCTTCTCCTGACTTTCTCCTCAGCCATTGGGACCAAGAGAGAGAGAGAGAGGTGGAGATGCCCACCTTTCCTGAAGGTAGGCGCAAAAACAAAGGAGGGAGCGGAGGTGGGAGATACCTCCAGCTGGAGGGTCTCTCTCTCTCTCTCTCTCTCTTGGTCCCAATGGCTGAAGAGAAAGTCAGGAGAAGAGGCGACTTTTGGTGCACACGCTGGGTCTTCAGACATGCCTCCGGACCCGAAGCGGGCCAGGCGCGGCGGCTCTGCCCCTTGGCCCACCCGCGGATTGGGGAGAGGAGAGGAGGCGGGTGGAGCGCTGGGGGATCGGGAAAGGGAGCCGGTCATGGGGAAGGGATCGAACGTGGAGAACGATTGAGCGCCGGCTCTGCTCGCGCACCCGGTGGCCAGGTGGAGCAGGAACGAGAGGGGCTAGGCGAGGCTCAAGGGCCCGGCCCCTTTGGGAAGAGGATCGCCCGGCAGCGAGGCAAGAAAGCCGAGGCTCCCCCCAGACTGCTAGGTCTGTTGTGAGCTGAGTGGGCGCTCCTCAAGTGGCAGTCAAGGGGCATTTACAGAGGCGCCTCTGCACCCCTGGCAAAAAAAGTGTTCTGCGACCGCTTACTTCGCATAATGGATGAGCCGCCCCTGCTTCTAATATAGCACTATTCTTTTCTATCACCTCAAATGCAACCAGTTTTCTTGCTGGCAAACTTTGTGGCACACTGGTGGTTTTTAAAGTCCCCCTATCCTTCCATTTCTCCTAACCTAATCCAAACTCCAAAACACTTCTGGTCCTAAGCATTTTAGATACGGGTCTGTTTGTGGATGATTTCTTAATAATAACAGAAAATCCACTAGATACATTGAAAAAATTAGAAAAAATATTGGAATATTTTAAATAAAATCTCAGGATTAAGGATTAATATGACAAAATCAGAGCTGTTGAGATTTAATATAGGATACTCAGCCTGTACAGTCAAAGTCAAACAATAATCAACCAATATGGAAGAGTGATTAATAGCTGGCAAGTAGAAAAGAGAGGTCATAACAGTGTGATGAAATTGACAATCATTAGTGACCTTTGTGACCAATATCCTGTCTGACTGCAAGAAGCCCTCAGCCAACATGATTCAAATTATTCTGGAGCAGGCATGGGCAAACCCAGGCCTGAGGGCTGCATGCGGCCCTTTGGGCTCTTTTCTCAGGCCATCCTCTCTCACATCATTCTATGTTTCCTTTTCTCTTACTTTCCTTCTTCTCTCCCTCCCTCCCTTCCTTACCTCCCTCTTTCTCTTTTCCTCCTTCCTTCCCTTCTACCCTTTTGTCTTTCCTTCCTTCCCTCTTCTTTCCCTCCCTCCTTCCCTCTTTCTCTTTCCCTTTCCTTCTTTCCTATCTTCCCTTCCCCCCTTCCTTTCCACCCTTCCTTCCTTCTTTTCCTCCCTCCCTCCCTTCTCTTTTTAGTTCTTCCTTTCCTCCTGGGTAATGTTTCGCTGGGAGAATAAAAGGTAGAGAGGGAGTCTCCTTCTCTGGAGGCTTTTCCGCAGATGCTGTCTATCAGGAGTGCTTTGATTGTGCCTTCCTGCATGGCAGGGGTTTGGACTGGGTGGTCCTTTTGGTTCTCTTCCAATTCTATACTAGGAGTAAACATTATGAGTCTAATGGATACACTTTTCCTCTCCCATCCAGCATCTCATCCTGACCAAGGCCAACCCTTTTGGGATCCAAACGTTTCCCACCTTTCCTTCACTTTCTGTCTCCAAAAGAGAAGAGGAAGGGGAGGAAAGGGTAGGGAGGGGATTTGGGACGAATCCCCTCCCTCCTGGTCCGCCCACCCTACTCTGGCCCACCATGTGGCCCCCCAAGTTAAAAAGTTTGCCCATGCCTGCTCTGGAGACATCACCTGTCTAACTAGCTACCAAAGCTAGGACCTTGTCACATTGGGATATAATCTGTTTCTATCAGTAAGCATGGTTCGGGAGGAAAGGGACTGAAAATGGATACCATCACAGAACTTGATCCTGCCCAATGTACAGTAGACATTTCACAGAAATGTGATTCAATTAAAGGTGTTTTCTTACCATGATCAAGCGGAGGTTTTGTTTCATCTAGAAAGAAAAAAAATGACAGTATTATAGTCTGGTCCCATTAAGTATGTTTTTAAAAACACAGAACGATCTGGTATCAGTATTTTAAATTTATTTTTTTGCTAAGATGGCTACATGGATTCTTCAAGCTGATAGTTGACAATGCACAATTAATTAAAACAAAATGATAGATACCGGACAATTTCTGTACATATAATTTTGGGGGGAAAATGTGTTAAATGAGTAATCAAAAGACCCTGGCTCACTGCAGCAGGCTTGTGACCCACAGGAGCCCACGCAAGAGAGGGAACATCAGCTTTAAATGTGAGAAGGTTCACAAACCATACATTTCAAACATAATGAAATATTAAAGTAAAAATACAGGGAAGACAAAATCAGACTGGGACATTAAGGATGTGATGAATTATGGTTTCCTTTAAATATCTATCTATATATAAATGTAATGTTCATTTGTGGGAAGCACATAACTCAAAAACCACTGGATGAAACGACACCAAATATGGCCACAAGACACCTACTAACCCAAGGAGTGACCATCACTCAAAAATCACCCCAAAAAAGTTAAAATAACTTTAAAATCCAAAAAAGGTAGAAAAACGGCACAGCACGCAAATGAATTCCATAGCCCTGCCTGCTCCTGCATGAGAACATAGCAAGCACAAGAGACAGGCCCATAGCCAGGATTTTGTTTCGGGGGGAACTGAGTTTGATTCGGGGGGGGGGGGCTGAGTCTGAGTGAAAGAGAGTCTACCCTAGCAAACCTTTTGTATCGTTACCCCAATACCCCCATGCATATGGGATATATTGAGCATGGTGATCAGATCATGATATGAATAAACATAACAGTTTAAATAATGCACCAGTAAGGCCTTTTTGCGAACCACCATGAGAATTTTTTGGGGGGGCTGAAGCCCCTCAAGCCCCCCCCCCCCCCCCCCCGGCTACAAGTCTGACAAGAGGCATCTCCAACCATCCTTTCTCTTCTGACCAGAGTAGGAGCTAGGAACAGAGAGCACAATTGTAGGTCCGGTGGGGGGGGGGGGCTCATCCGCCACCAGGGAAGGAAGGAAAGAGGGAAGGAAGGACAGAGGAGAATGAGATAAAGGAGGAACAAAGAAGGAAAGAGAGAAGAAAGTATGGAAGCAAAGAGTAAAGGAAAGAAGGGAAAAAAAGAAGTAGAGAAGGAAGAAAGGAGAGAAAGAGGAAGGAAAAGAAAAAGGGGGAAGGAAGAGAAGAGGAAGAGAGGGAAGGAAGGAGTGAAGGAAAGAAAAAAAGGGAAGGAAAGAAGGAGGGAAGGAAGGTGTTCTGTCGCGTGCTGGGCCTATAAAGAATTTCCTTTAGAACAGGACATGCAACCTTTGCCCAGCGGGAAGCCAGGGGGCCCAAGGAGAAGTTCTCAGAGGTTTTCCACCACAAATGATCTTTAGATGGCTTGTGAAGTATAACAAAGTCTTTTATTAATGAACAATCAAACAGAAACTTCTCTTGTCTTCAATAAAGCTAAACAAATGCTTCCAGGCTTTATGCAACTGGTGACTTCCTAATCTTGTCCACGAAGGACAGGCAACTGTCTTCAATAACTTCTTCTTTACTTTAAAGGAAACCCCCCTTTTTAACTTCTCCCAGGCTAACTGTAATCTAAACCTTACTGATGTGGGCTCCGCTACTAGGTCGAACTGCGTCTCGAAGCACCAAGTGGACCTACCAGTAAGGCAGTAGACTCTCCAGCTGGAGTTCTTTGGTTTTAGGGCTATTTTCCTGGAAATTCTTGGATGCTCTTAAAACTGTTTTTCCCCAGAAATCTTGAGGGTTGAAGCTTTTGTACAGGGGAAGCTTGCACACGTCCTGTACATTAGCTTTCCTTGCTGAGACTAACTAAAAAATGGCTCCCTTCCCTTCCCAATTGCCCTGAGCAAGGGGCGGAACCAAAACTTAACGATGATGTACAACTGCAACCAAAGGAAGCCACCTATCTGCAGAGTCCCTGAAACCTAGGTCTGCAAGCAAACATTTAATACAAAGCAAATAAAGTTGGAGCTCCTGGTACAACCGTACCAGCACAGAAGGAGAGAAAAAAAGGAGAGAAAGAGGGAGGGAAGGTTGGCCACAGCAACATGTGGTGGGTACAGCTAGTACAGCTAGAGAGCGAGAGAGAGAAAGAGAGAGAGAGAAGGGGGGAAGAGAGGGAGGGATGCTTACAGTATTTGTATGCAAGATATCAAGATGAGTGTCTATTTGATGAATGTCTTACTAAAACAAGAATGTTAAATTCCAACAACAAAATGCCATGCCAAGGTCTGAACAACCACCAAGTTGTTAACTTTCAATCTAAAAAGTATTTAACAGGAGGAATATTGCATATAATAATAATAATACATTCTACATATCAGGGCTTGATTATATACAGTTTCATTCTTTCATCCAGTCACTAAAAACTCATCACACCATGTATTTCCTAGCATAGAAAAGCATGCAGTACATATTTTTTTTTAAAGGAAGCCATAAGTCTTAGTCTTACAGATCAGCCCTGCGATATCCAAAGAAAGTGTCATGCCTCATTTATAGTTAAAGCAATTGACAGTTGTTATCGAAATTTTGCTAAACTGAAAGCAACATGACATCCTGGCCCTTTTGAAGTTCAAAAGGTTAGATCTTTGGTCTTGAGGATAAATTTGTTCACTTCTGTTATATAAAGACTACATTGAGATGGATGTAAAAGGAAATTATCATTTCTATAAAACAATAATGACAGAAAGTGTTGGATCCTATCGTTAAGCAATAATAACTGAAAATCAAGCAGTGAGTTGCTAAAGCGATAAAAATGCACAAAGTGAAATAATTGCATGCAGTGCTTCTTTTTCAAAGAACCAGCTGCTTTTCTAGAGAACCCGCCTTTTACTACAAAAAAGAAATTCCTTCTGTAGTAATATTTATATATACAGGATTTACAGAAACATTTGAATTTGAACAGCTCACAATCAGTCACTTGAGCACATAGACACTGAATTAATGCATTAATGAATTTTGGCACTCCTAAATGTCATGACTCCATGCAGTGGAGTCTAGGGATTTGGTGAGGCAATAGCACTCTGGTAGAAAAGGCTACCAAATAACTCTATAGCACTGAGACAGGGCAATGTTTATTTATTTATTTATTTATTTATTTACAGTGTTTATATTCCACCCTTCTCACCCCGCAGGGGACTCAGGGCTGATTAAAATGTTCATATACATGGCAAACATTAAATGCCATAGACACACAACATATATAGACAGGCACACAGAGGCTATTTAACATTCCAGCTTTTTCATGAGGGTATTCTGGCCACCAGGGGAGCTGTCGCTTCACCATCCATTTGTAACACTAATAAAGTACTTCCTCATTCTTTGCATGCTTGCTGGATATTTTTATGGTGTTGTAAATTAGCCTCCCTGCATAAACGGTACCTAAATTTCCTACTTGACAGATGCAACTGTCTTTCGAGCTGCAATGGCAAGCTACACAAATTGGTTGGAAGCTCATACGAACCAGGGCTGGCTTTGAACTCATGACCTTTTTTGGTCAGTAGTGATCTTAATGCAGCTGACTCCCAGCCAACTGCACCACATTGCTCTGAATGGCTTTAATTCTACAGTGTAGATGCACCCCTTATGGACTATTTAGATAAGTCAAAGTCAGACCCAAGAGTTGTGCCATGGCTATAATGTTTTTGCAATATTGCAAGAGTGAACAATTTGTTGTCCTCCAGATATCATTGGAATACAACTCCTTGATCCTGGTAGCTAAGGATAGCAATTCTGGAGCTCCAGAAGTCACTGGCTCCTACCAAATCCAAGGGAAATACACATGCACAAGTCACTGTTTTAGGTATTTTTCAAAAAAGCAATTTCCAAAAAGTGGCATTGCTTATGTGCCACTCAGATTCACAAACTACCACAGAGAGCACTTTAACAACAGAGCAAAGGTCTAAACTGGCTGTATCTTTTCATTGCAATCCATTTGTGTCCTGTAAGATTTATTTTGTCTCTAAGTTCAACTCACTCAACTCGACCAGATTACTCAAATAACAACAATAAATGCTGATGCTTTAATAACCTGCCTTTCATTTATCTTCCTGCTCTCTGATGAGATCAGTTTTTTCCCATCTTGCTTCATTTCCTATTTTGCTTCCCTTCTATTTCTCCTTCCCGATATGATGCTTTGCTGTCAACAGCATTTTCTGCCATTTGCTTTAAATGAATTGCTTCACCTCCCCCAGTGACACCCTGTTCAAACATCCCATTATCCAACATGACTTTTGGTGGCTCTATACCATACAATGAATGCAGTTTCACACCACTTTAACTGCCAAAGTTCAATGCTATGGAATTGTGGGAGTTGTAGGTTTACAATGTCTTTAGCCTCCTCTGACAGAGTGTTGGTACCTCACCAACCTACAAATCCCAAGGTTTTGTCAGCCAGATATGTTGAACAGGGGTTTGCCATTAGAATCATAGAATCAAAGAGTTGGAAGAGACCTCATGGGCCATCCAGTCCAACCCCCTGCCAAGAAGCAGGAATATTGCATTCAAATCACCCCTGACAGATGGCCATCCAGCCTCTGCTTAAAAGCTTCCAAAGAAGGACCCTCCACTACACTCCGGGGCAGAGAGTTCCACTGCTGAACGGCTCTCACAGTCAGGAAGTTCTTCCTCATATTCAGATGGAATCTCCTTTCTTGTAGTTTGAAGCCATTGTTCCGCGTCCTAGTCTCCAAGGAAGCAGAAAACAAGCTTACTCCCTCCTCCCTGTGGCTTCCTCTCACATATTTATTCATGACTATCATGTCTCCATGGGTGCAAGGTGGACAGAACTTGCACCCTACTATTGAACTTCGAACAAGTTTATATTGTTAATATGATGCTAGGTTTTGTTTGAGATAATCTGTTTCTAGAGATCAGAACTCCAGTTTTCTCTTTTGAGAAGTTTCAGGCTGGAGTTAACTTCTGATTGACTGGCC